ATTCAATATGTCACATCTTGATGGGCATTCTAATCATTATTAAGCTGCGGATTATTACCTTGCTCGGTCAACGGTAAATAATTATTCCAGCCTTTTTTCATTTCTCATTTACGTAACTGTACTAAATTGATATTAATACCTGCATCTGTGTGGTAATATTTTTTAAATTCTCAATGTTTACAAAAAGTGTGTTAAATATTTTATATTGAATATTTAATAGTTGACCGTTGCACTATAAAGGAAGGAGATGGAGAATTTTCTTTTTTCTTTTCTTTCTCCAAATTCCTTTATGTCTATTATTTCATTTCTTTTTCGTTTTTGTTTTTTTTCAATCTCCTGTAGAAGTATATTCATATTTGCAAATATTATATATTACACTACAACAATTGTTACCATCTATTTACTTCAGTTTAGGATCTTGTTACTTAGCTTACTCTGTTTATATTTTATTGTACTTGCTGTTTATAATTTTAATAGGCTTATTCACATTGTTTATATTTTTTTGTCTAGTATTATGTTACTTCCCACAGTTCTCTATCTGTTTGTATCTTGTCCGTTCTAGCCCTGAAGTGCGGTTTATAAAAGCAAATGGAGTAACTTGACTTTTATTGCCTATCGTCGATGTAATAAATAGACTTCTTGTAATTTCAATGGTCTTAATGATTTGTAATCTGTAAGCTTTAAGATTCATCTTTTTTTAAAGACCATCTAATGTTAAATAATCGATTCCCTATTACTTTTTTAACCCTAGTTCTTGTAGGATTTGGGTTTGCCTTATTTCGTGTCATCTGGTTACTCTTAGTCACGGTTTTGATTTTTGTAGTGGAATTCTTTCCTTTGAGTCAAATAATTTAAATAAGCTTCGCTGTTTAGGAATCCGGGTTAATTAGTTCTAGAACACTTTTAAGGAAATCCTTTGTTGTAACTGATCTCGAAAACCTCTAAATATTTTCTCTGTTATAGGATTCTACAGTTCGTAATTTTTTGTAAAGGTTATTTGTAAGAAAATTTAAAATGTTTATATATATTCTAAGGAATTTTTCTATTTTTTTTTTCGGATTCTACTCAACGTTTTCTATAATAATCTCTCGTTTATGATTAAAAAAAAAAAAAGGTTGTACAACACAGCTTGCATCTTTTATTTTCTACTAAGCAAGAAAAAAATTTAAATATTCGTGTTGTGCGTTAGTTCTTTTTTCGACATAATTGCCTCCGAAAATGAACCTATTAATTTTTGAAAAATATTTATAGGAGTTTGGCAAGCTCCATCGCTCCATCTTTGATCAATGAACCATCAAATATAGAATTAAAAATAAAATATATGATAATAAATAATTATATCCGATTGATAATTAAATTATGAGACTCCTTACTGCTCATGGTTTGTGGTTGCTGTAACATTTTGCTCAACAAAGTAGCTATTATATTAATGTTTTTATCATAAATGATCTTTTACACCTACTTTTAGCGTTTCCTGTCTTAACTCCATGATCATTAAATGCACATATCCAATTGCTGGGTTTTGCACCTTCGATAAGGAAAGTTTGTGACTTGCCTTTGATCGTTTAGGGAAGACGTGAGTAATTCTCTTCGGAATAAGAGCATAACCCAGACAGTTTCCATACACTTTACTGTATATGCTATTCATGAGGCGTCTCTGCTTTTCATTTCTGTGAATAAGCACAGCCATAAGAAAGCCATTTTGCCAGTTATTTCCTCAATATGACACAAGATATTTGTTCTTGTCCCTCAATGCAAAACGTTTATGACCATTGCCTATTTATGTAAACCCACGAGGGTGATAAAGGTAAGTATGTTTTGGAAATGTCATACTAACCTTTGTTAAGTGGTCGTAGACCGTATTATTCTGAGATTTTGCTTTTGCGACTAGAAATCCACAATCTACTCCTAGCATTGGGACGTCCATTATCTCTTTAGTGCTTGAGGCATTTGAATAGTTTGTCCAGTAAACTTGCTGACATTATTTTTTTTTCTCAACCTCTTCTTTATTATTATAAAGAACCTCTTCTTTATTGTTATTCATAGTTCTGTATAGTGTCTGCAGTAGTACTTGACCATTTTAGTAATAATTTCTTCCTGAACAAAAAAGAAAGTGCTCCAGCATTTTAAAAACGTGTATTGTATTTGTTCAATTCGTAATCACTTTGAAATACCAATCCTCCTCCAAGATTGAAGTGATGGAAGTAAAACTGTTTTCCGAAGTCGTCCTGTCTATGGCCAGTTTCTCCATTCCACTGAATCCTCAAATCAGAAGTCCGCTTGATTCTAAGTGACGGGTTGAGAGAGGCACGCTGGTATTTACCTCCTTAAGTCTGCTTTTCTTATCACCTGTGGAAGACAAGCTTAATTTTTATTTTTTTATCTCAGGATGTGTATAAATATTGTGCATTAGCATGATCGTTTTAAAGAGTTTTGGTTTTTAATAAATCATTAACACGTACATGCGGTAGATTGCAATAGTTGAAAGTAGAAACAATTAAACTGTAAAAGTTTATATACTCATATGATAATTCACGAGTTTATAAAAAAATACATTCCATTACCATCCAGTCTTTCGTTCTAAATGGTGGCCGAAAAAATTATATCACTATAGACTGTAACGCCAAAACGGTTGTTATAATTTTAATGAAACTTGACTAAGGACTTTAATTTTGAAAGCTTCCTGAATTCCCTAAAAAATGAAAAATAGTCATCCAAAACGATAAGAATTATATCCGATAAGTTATTTTATTTCATTTTTTTAACACTTATTTTCGGTTTATATTAGTTAGGAGAGATCTAGTATAGCAAATTTATATTTGGCGTGTAGCTATACTATGAGAGTAATTTTGAAATGGAGCAATTTATAACGACCGAAATGGATTCTATTGAAACTAGCTTAGCACCATATATCACTATATAAATAATAAAACTGTAAACGTTCGGTTGTTCAAAACCGGTAAATGTTCTCCATCGATTGCTTTGAAATGTTTAGATATCGTAACAATTGACTTCGGGAGTGTTTTTATACACATGCCATCATTGTCAGGTCTTTCGTTTCGAAATGGTGGCCAAAAAGTTTGTTAATATTCGTTTTTACTTTCACTTACGTATATATGTATAATGGTAAGTATTGCGATTGTGAAAATTTTCGAATCTCAGTTTTCAACAGAAATACATGTTTTGTGGTTCTGTGAGTCCAAATAACCAACACCAATCAACTCACTACCACAAAATGGTCTGTGTGTGTATCTGAACAGCCTAGCTCAAAAATGAAAAGTTTTACGAAACTGAAATTGTGTATTCAAGGTTTATGTATGCCTGAGATGTTTAAGCAACTTTTTGGTCAAAATCGGCTAACCAGAAGTGACACTTTATTGAATCAACTAAACACATTTTAAGATTTTCTCAAAACGGCTCAAACGATTTTGATTAAACTCGGTGTATCATTGTATATTTAAGTGGTCTTTAATATCATTTAGGTCTTATCCCCGTTGATGTCACTTTACTCAAATACCCAATGTTCATATACATCTTCCTCTAAAGTACCTTTAATATGGTTTATTTTAAAAAGTTAATCATTTCGCATTATTCAGAGTTACGAAAAAATGCTATATATAATTTTTGAAAGAATTTGATAAGTTAATAAAGGAAATAAAAAATAAAAGTGCAGAAAAACCTGTGTTGCTATAGACTGTAGCGCCTAAACGAATGTACCGATTTCAATGAAACTTCGCTCAAGTCATTTTCTCGACACGCTTTAAATTTATCTATATAACATACTTCAACGGAAAGAAGCTGGAAAAAAAGTTACGAGGGATGGTAAAATTAAATTTATTTATTTTATTTTTTTGTACATATGGTGTGAATGTCATCCTACCTCACTATAACCAATGTCCAACAGACAGATTGTTATAATACTCAATAAAGAAAAAAAAAATTATATTTATCGTAAATTCCCATTAACTCAAAAAGTATACACTTTTTTGTGGATATTGTATGTTTTTTTAAAGTTTATGGAATTTTCTAAAAAACCAACAAAAAAAAAAAAAAAATGCGATAAAATCGGACAATTAGGAGGAAAGATAAGGTCTCTAGTTTATTCCCCTGAAGAGGCGAAAATTTGTATACATTTAAAATATACTTTTTTAACTGTTGAGACTTAAAAACTTTGAAGAAGAGAGAAAAAACTTTTTTTCTACAGATATTTAATAATGTATCTTACCTCAGAACATCTTTCATAAGAAATAAGTATCTAAATTTATACCTTTATTCTCAGTTCTATATTTTAACACTGCAATCACCACCTCCAGAATCAAGTTACTCACTGTCTGCATAGATAACTTTTTCAACTAAAAATATTACTAAATTGACATTACTCAAAAATGTTGAAATTGGAGTTAGTCATTCTGTGGTTCATAAAAACAAAGTTGTGTGGTTTATAAAAGCAGATGGAGTGACTAGATTTTTATTGCCTACCGTCGATATATTAAATAGACATTTTGTAATTATAATGGTCTTAATGACTTGTTATCTGTAAGATTTAAGCTTTAAATGCACTTACAATTTTATAATAGCCCAGCATTGCCAGAAAATAATTTCTATTCAAAGTAGAGCGGTAAGTGAAAGTTGTATGTTGCGCGCACCAGATTTTTTAACTTGAGACGCCTCGTAAAGATTGGAGGTATTAGAAAATGTACGCATATTAAGTTTTGATATTATACTTTCATTCTAACTTTTTCTTAATCAAATTTGTGTACTGGCAAGAAGATGAAACTCATTTATTTATATTCTACGTTTTTGTATTGCAACATTAACTTAATTATTATTTTCGAAATCGCTTTTTAACTTAATTATTATTCTCTAGATCTTAACTGTTGGATGCTTATCATCTATGATGTGTATGAATAAGTATCATCATGAAAATAATTTATTTTGGAATATCGTCATATTATAATACTTAACTAAATTCATTCTCGTTACTCTTTTCAACAAAGTCAATGTTGCAGGTCAATGGTGACTCGGAGTGGGAGTACGAAGAGATCCGCCTGGAGCGCGGTACCTCCGGGCTTGGATTCTCGATCGCGGGCGGTACCGACAACCCGCACGTCCAGGACGACCCTTCCATCTTCATCACCAAGTTGATACCCGGAGGAGCGGCGGCCAACGATGGCAGGCTGCGGGTCGGCGACGTCATCCTCGAGGTCAATAGGACTTCGGTCGTAGATGTCTGCCACACCGACGCCGTCGAAGCCCTCAAGAGGGCCGGCAACGTCGTCACGCTGGTAATAAATTAATTTTTAATAGCAAGTAACTTTATAAGTCGCTCTGAGGTAAAACTGTTTATTTATATTGAGAAAACGCACGACTAATTCGATATTTTATGGACTACTTACTCTTGATAAACTAAAAAAAAAAGAGGTTATAGAAGCAGTGTGAAATAAAGCAGAGAATTGTTAGCTTACTGATGGTTTATTTTAAATTGTAGCTCTTTATCAATGCAAACAAAACCAAGCTACAAGAAAACTACTTTTCTTATAGGTATCCCTTTTTTCTTTTTAATCTCTTGTTGTTAATCGTTAGTTGTTGTAATCGCTAATTGTTTTAAGCTTAGTTATAGTTATCAGATAATAAATTCTTAATGATGTAATTTCTTCTTATTTTAAAATTACTATGTTTTATAATTAACTTTATTTTATAGTTTATAAGTTTTTTATGTAAAGTTTAAGTTTTTTATGTAAGATTGCTAAATTGTGAAAATGATTTTGATGGTTGAAGAATAGTCAGAATCTCTCTCTTGGTCTGCACGACATAGGATCCTGGCTTCTTCTTGTAGCTTCCACCAGTTTAATCGGCAAAGCACAGCAGCTCTCCATGTAGGATCGTTAGGTCTTCTTCACCTCCATCCATTCGTTGAGGCAATGTGCTCTGATCAGTGTCTTATACAATCTTGTAGCGCTTGATATTGAGCTATTTCTCAGGTCCCCACACATTTCAAAATAGCACCTATGACAGAGCTATTTGTCCCCTCATACACAAACTGATCAACTAATCTCAATGAGTTAGGACCAGCTTGTACAAAATCTTCATTAATAGCTAGCTTGACCAGCAATTATATATTAGGTTTTACAGGTATCAGTTGCAACTCTTTCAACAGCTTTCTGGCAGCTTCATCAAAACAAAGGAAGGTTTCTTTCACCACAGATCTGATTTTCCAACAATGTTTATTTAAGCAGCAGATCCCAGATTTTGAACCATACAATTAAAATTCTTTTCCTTGATCAAGACCATTGATTCTCTGATTGCTTTTCCTAAATGAAAATTGAAAAGCATATAGGTGAGGGAATCACCCTAGGTCTGTTAATCTCGCATAATACACTCAATATTGCTCATCCTATGTTCTACATGTTGGATCAGTTTAGCAGGTGTATTAAGGTCTTTCATTACTAGATACAGAAGCTCACGTTAAGTGCTATCATGAGTGGATCTAAAATCAACAAATAGATTTCGTTTTTGAATCTGATATTTTTTTTTTTTTCAGTGTAAAATGGTAGAGTAAAGGTCTAATTTGTTGTGGATATTTCTCCAGTATCCTCTGAGCATGAAGTAGTAATTCTCTTAGAGGAATTCTTGTAAGCATAGAGTAGAAGAGAAATGCCTCAATCGTTATTACACTCTAAATCTTCCTTCCTGTGATTAGGACATAAAACCGTTTTCTTCCAAGCTGTCAGAATAACTTTCTCAACCCAGATCACAATAATTAATAAAAGAAAATGCATTACTTTATTTAATGCTTGAAAGAGCTGATCTCCACTCAAATAATTCAGTTGGACAGATTGTCAAATCCAGGTGTTTTTTTAACTTGTCCATTTCGTTGCTCAATTCCTCTTGATATCGGTGCTTATGTTTATCTTCAGCTTCTTTCTGTTGAGCTTCATGTGCCTTATTTTTATTGAGCATGTGATAATCTGGTAATTTCATCTTCGTAGAACCTATGTTTTCTAATTCAATAGCGACCCATCTAAATTCTTACAGGCTGAAATTAGGCCACAGTTTTTGGCCACTGCTAAACACTTAACGGACTCAAGGTTTGAAGCGGATACCACCAATCATTGTCTCTTACTTTCATCGTGATTGGAGAGTTGGTTAAGGGTTGCAGTCAGTCAGAACACACAAATAAAAATAATAAAAAGATATTAGTGTGTTCTGATTGACTGCAACCCCAACCATATTGTCTACAGTCAAGAATTTCTTCATCATTACTAATCACCATCGAAATCTAAGTCTGCAAGATCAGCCTTCAACACTATCCTTCTATTTTTGTTTCAATCTACACCTTGTACCAAGCCAGTCACCATAGAATTAAGTACCATGTTCAAAAATATGTATAATAAAACTAAATATGAAACACATTTTGGTTGTCAGTTCATTAAAATCAAACCTTAAAATAATAATTAAAAAGGTAGTGATCAAACTACGTCACAAAAATGAGCCAGTTAGTAGAGGATAAAATAGTAAACTGGAAACAAACAATGATTACTGAAAAAGTGTAAACAAATGTTTTTCTGAGAACTTTTCAGGTGATTGTTATCTTTTTTGTTTAATTTGTATACTACATATCATTGGGGCACCATGTTAAAGTAACGAATGTACAATGTTTGCAGACTCACATTTGTTACTTTAACATGGTGCCGATGATATTTACTCTCTTAAATTTAAATTAAGAAATATGTAATAGAATTAATGTAGATTTAAATTAATTCAAATTAACAAACTATTGCAAAGTTAATGTTCTTTAATCAATTGAAAGATAAAATTATTTTAATTATTACCAAATATATGATTTCAGTTATAAATTTGAATAATTTTTATACTATGAACATTTATTTGTTGAATGTTAAAATTATCACAAAAAATTCTCCAAGTATTTTCCAGGATTAATAATACCCTAAGACTCTAATCTAGAGACAGATAGGGAGAATATATCAAGAGAAGATATCCACTTTTCGTTGGTGAAACTGCATTTGAATTTCATGGCATTCTCGTGTTGGAAATTGAATTCAGACCCTCCATGTCAGTTTCTGACATATCCATTATCCAGCATGAGATGCTCTTTGTCTGTTAATGAATTTGGAATAATATACACAGACCTTCTAATGAAACTGTTTATTTTCTCGTTTACCATCCCAGATAAAAGTGAAATTAGAGAAATAGTTGTGAAGGTTTTTCTTAAAGGGATGCTATTCCAAACATTTGACAGCTAAAATATGTTGTATTTTAATTTCTTCACTCAGATTTGAATAATAATTGGATGGAAAGATTCATCAAAATGAAATATACATAGCTCATGTCAAACTTTTAAGTATTGTTGTTGCCTATTTTATAAGACAGGTAGAGTAAGAGAAATGAGCCGGGAAAGTATGGATTTAAGTGGTATTGATTTTGGTAAATCTGTTGAGGCTGTTTTCCATTGCTTCATAAGAGGCTTGGATGTACTTAAACTGCTTGCATTATATGGTTCAGTTGTGGCAACAGGTTTTACACATTAACAGATTACTGAACAAATCAGTTTGGATTATGGAAGAAGGATCCGATTATGAATCCAACCAATTATATTATCTGTATTAGCATCATAATCATAACTAAATGCTTCATTTCCACATTATATCTGAAAAGTATTTCCCAAATTATTTTAATTTTTTTTTTCATCTCATAGAAAATTATTAAGAACATTTTTCAGGTCATTAATTCAGATTATTCCCTTTCATTAGATGAAAATAGTTTTAATAATGAATTGATTGTCAGCTGAACTACCAGCAGTGCATTACGTGTCTCAGTGCATTTCATCTTTTAATTTTGAATATGTTACCTACTTCAGCTTGTTTACTTCATTTTTTACTCTCATATTAATTCAGATAAATTGGCAAATAACGTTTGTTTTCTTCTACAGTCAATTGTTCCATGTATATTAGTTTTTATTCATTTATACGTTTGTTCTTCTTGGCCTGTCTTGTGGTTCCTTGCTAGTTGGTTGTGCTTCTATACATTTCTTTGGTACTTTGTCTTCTCTTATTCTACAGATATGCCCATACCATCAAAGTTGTTGGCATTCCATATTTGATTATTCATTATTTTTGTCAAATGAAATTACGAATAATTAATTGTCCTTTTTTTTTTTTTTTAATCTGTAGCCTTAATTTTTAGGTATATGTTAACCTTCAGTAGCTAACGTTTAAGAGTATTTTTCAATACATTTGAATTTAATGAACAGAAAGAAATAATGAAGCAAAGTAAATTATTGACTAAATTAATTTGCATCCATTAATATTTTTATTGAACAATTTACTTTTTGTTAAATAATTAATGAAGTAATATTAATTACTTTACTTTTCATCGAATATTTAATAAATTATTCTTCATTTTAAATATTGAAATAAAATAATTTGTATTAAATATATTTTCTGTTGGCATTACAGACCTTGTAGATATTTTTCCACCTTAACAAGCTTGCTCCATCTCTGCCTATCATGGGCTATTTCATTCCAGTAATCTGCATATTATCTCCTCTATTACTTATTTGTTGATTCTATCAATCCATCTGCTTTTTCATCGAATATTTAATAAATTATTCTTCATTTTAAATATTGAAATAAAATAATTTGTATTAAATATATTTTCTGTTGGCATTACAGACCTTGTAGATATTTTTCCACCTTAACAAGCTTGCTCCGTCTCTGCCTATCATGGGCTATTTCATTCCAGTAATCTGCATATTATCTCCTCTATTACTTATTTGTTGATTCTATCAATCCATCTGCTTTTTGCCCTTCTACGTGGTCTTTTGCCTACTATTGAAGTATTCATTGTCGTGTAAAGGCTTTCAGATTCATTTCTCAGAGTTACATGACCAGCCCAGCTTAACATCCATGCCTTTTATTCGTCTTTCTTCTCCATGTGTTAGTACTCTGATCTTTTTGTTTATTAAGGATTTTTCTCTTAAGGCTTTCAATATTTTGTTCAAATTGGGTGCTGGTTAGTGTCCAAGTCTCACTGATGTATTTTAAAACTGGTTTTATCATAGCATTGGACACCCTTAATTTGAGATTTTTCGGGATTTCAATACTTTTGAAAGGGAGAAAAAAGCTCTGTTTGGGTTTGTTATACACTGGCCTATTTCCAACCATTGGTCGTTCATTTGGGTTATTGTGGAGCCGAGGTATTCGAATTTTGGATAAAATTTTGGCCTTATATTTTTTTTCTTCATTTATTTGTATGCTTATTTTCTCTGCTTCTGTTATTAATATCTGTAACTCTATTGTGTGTATATATATATATATATATATATATATATATATATATATATATATATATATATATATATATATATATATATATATATATATATATATATATAATTGATTTATATCTCTGTTTATAAACATGATGACTACCTAAAACTTAATGGGGTTGCTATCTACTTTGATCTCTAAAAACAATCATGTCCAAAATAAAAATTTTAAAAATACATTTTTCCTATTTCAGAATGTCCGACGAAGAAGGGCTGGGGCACTTAAGTTGATCGAAATCGAATTAATTAAAGGCAATAAAGGCTTAGGCTTCAGCATTGCTGGAGGCATTGGCAATCAGCATATCCCAGGCGATAATGGGATTTTTGTTACAAAAATTATGGATGGAGGTGCAGCGCAGGTAGATGGCAGGCTTGCAGTTGGTGACAAACTCATAGCTGTCAGAAATCTCCCCGTAAGTAATTAATTTCTTTCTTTTTTTAATGTATAATGTTTTATTTATTTTAGTAGATTTTCTTATGATATACCAAGTAAGTTACTATGAACACTATTGTTCTTGCATATTTATAATTATAAGCAAATCTAATTTAGTCTGAGGATAAATTATTTTAGAGAGATATACAACTTGAAAGATGATTGGTGGCATGGATAATTTAACATACATTTTCTAATTATATTTTTAATATAAATATTTAATGCTGACAGAACATATTTTTAATTTTCTTCTTTTTTTTTCTATCAGGGAGGTGACGTGAATCTTGAAAATGTAGCCCATGAAGAAGCCGTTGCCACACTGAAAGCAACTCATGAACGGGTTGTCCTCCTTGTTGGCAAGCCTGATAATGCTCTCCACATGTCAGATGCTCTTGGTCATTCATTTACTCATCGTGCGACCATTGAGAAATCGAGCAGTCCACAACCATGTAAGTTAAATAATTATTGTATTTCCAATGTTTTAAATTATAATGCTTGTTCAGAGCACGTTAGACTATAATTTTAAATGTGTCAAAATATCACAATAGCACTGCCATCTATTGGCCATCAACATAGTTCCATCTATCAGCTTAGAGAAGAATTTAGATCTTGTTCCTCTCTACTTCAGGATAAGAGAAGGACTAATAAGCTTGAATCTTTTCTTAAAGGATCCAGTATGGCTTTTTTTTTTCTAACATATAAAAGCCATGATTTACTTAACTTACTATTACTGCTAGTTTACTATTTAAGGGGGATTTTTTTTTTTTCTGAATAGTGGTGTTTAAATAAAAGGCTCTCTTTTGTCTATTCATTTGACTCAATTGGTTTCTTCAACTAAATCACTATTATTATGGATGTAAAATTTATCTAGTTAAATTATTTGTACAGGAAACTAATAAGGGGAGGTCAGAGTTAGTCAGTGAGTCGCTGATTCAACCAATGTTTTGGCAGGAATTCCGCGTCAAAATATATTGGAGTCATGTCATGACGTATGCTTCAATTGGCTTCAGATGCCAAGAAACAAATATAATTTTGGATAAAGAATAATTGAATCTAGATTCTTGTAAAAGAAGTTGGTTGGGGATTGCAGTCAAAGACAAAAGAAATAAAAATGTATTTTCTTTGTACTGATGTTTTGGCCTAAGTTTCAAGTCTTCATCAGGGCTAAGCAAAGACCAGATAAAAAATAAATACTGAAACAAAATTAAATAGTAGGTTCATTTAAAAATAATTAAAATATTAAGTTAATTAAACTTAACATTGATAAATATATGGAATGGGAATGTATGATATATACGTTTAAAAAGTTATAGACTTAGTGTTCCTTCTTATTTTTTTCTCAGTATTTATTTCTTATCTGGTCTTTGATTAATACTGATGAAAGCCTGAAACATAGGCCGAAAAGTTGGTACAAAGAAAATAAATTAACTTTTTTTGTGTGTGTACTTTCTTTGACTGCAATTCCCAACCAACTTCTTTTCTAAAAAATAAAATTGTTTAAAATTGATATTTTTTCAAATTCTATAGCCCTATAAAAAATATATACATATCTTTTCTTGAGAAATAAAACACTCAAAAATTTTTAATGAACTTAACACCAAATAAAATTACCAGCGTTTATTCCAAAAGTGTAAATCATTGAAAATTAGGTTATGTTGATAAGGGCAATTCAGCCAAAATAATTTTAGTTTTTTAAAATATGTTCCTTCCCTTGAAAATGGCCTTAGGGCTGAAATGTTGGTATAGAAAAAGAAATAAAGTTGGACTGTTGTGATCAAATTGTGTGTTTTTATTATATGTATGATATTTGAATGCTGAAGATTTTAGAAAAATAATATAATACATAAAATATTAAGAGTTTTAATATGAAAATATCAGAAAACCTCTGGTTTTTTTTCAATTACGTATGTTCTATCTTTAATGTTATCAGTCACGGTTCTGCTTAAGATGCTAAATTCACAGTTAATAAACACACAACGTATTAGGCATGTTTTTTGAAGGATTCTGTTCCTATAATTATTTATGTGTTTAATTATAGCTTTGTTTTTAATAAAGAATCATGAATAATTGTTTTAAATAATGTTTCAGCTCTACAAGATTCTATACATGCTTCTACTGTACAACTCCATGCTCCAACACCAACTGGTGTCAGCATAGAAGATATTTCCTCAAGGTAAGTTTAGCTAAGATATATTAGGCAGTTGTTTGGGAATAACCTGATCATTCTAATTTTTCATGAGAGCAGTTAAACATTTTAAAACATTATTCTATTTCACATCAATACCAGTAAATCGCATTAATAAAGTATTTTACTGGTTTCATGAAAAATAAAACCAGCCATATTTGATATCTGTTTTTTTTTTTTTTTTTTTTTTTTTAGTATTATATGATAATATAGTTTTCTTCCCAACTCCTGTATAAACCATCATTTGTTTAGGTATGATTCTTTTCCTGATATCTTATATTCTTTCTGTGCAAAAACTGTTGACACCAGTTCAACAACATAATATTTTTTATTTAATTTTTTAATAACATAAATATTATTAATTCATTCTGTGTTACTTTTTTATCCTGAAAGATTAATTAGAAATTATTATGTTTTAAGCAGTTGGTCTGAGACTCATTGAGAAAAAAATCAGATAATTACTGATCAGGTAATGAAGTGTATAAAAAAAAAATGACGATTGTTGAACCAAATATTTGTATTATTGTTTCTTTGATATAAAATAAAATGAATACTCAAAGTAGTCCTTTGTTATCTACCGTCATTAGCCATCTGCTAGCCAATTGCTCGATCCCGCGCTGATACCTTCTTTAGGGATGGTTGTCAAAGAACTCTTGGACTCTTAGCCCTGATGATGGCCTGAACTTCAGGTCGAAACGTCGGCAAATGTCAAAATAAATATTATCATTTATTTTTGCCTTCTTATTTGACTGATCTCTCCAACTATTCTTCTCTTCATTATTCACGACAATCAACCATTTACCCACAATTATCAAATTCTTCCTTTGAAGAAACTGGGCCATGGATCTAAATAAGTTATAATCCGATGGTCCGAGGTCTGGACCTATATGGTGGATGAGGCAGAATTCTCATATCAGCAGTGTTTTTCAATAAAATTTCACAAATTTCTAACCTCTTAATTGATTGCTGAGTAGTAAGTTAGTGAGGGTCCAGCCTACTGCTCTTTTTCACATTCCCCATTTCGAGTAGTCGGCGACTAACAGAATCTTTTGACACAATACACTTTCTGGCAAGTTTGCTAGTACTCGTGGGTGGATTTGACTCAACAGCTTCCTGCAGAACCTCATCAATATCCATTAATGGTCCCCTGGAGCCCATCTCCCTTTCCAATGGTTTATCTAGACTGATATTTTTTTCAAACTAGCGCCACACAATGCGCTGGTCAAGGACACCTTTCCCTTCATACCTAATAATTTTACGAGTTGCTTCAGCGGTTGTAAAAAAAATTTTCCAGTAATGCCTTAAAATTTCAAGAATCTCGTTGGGCACTGTCATGTTTTTTCTTTGTAACAAATAACTAAACTGATGCTTTTTTTGAAGAAGCCAAAAACCTCAAACAAATTTTAAGTTTTTTTCTGATTTTTACTCATATCTTCGTATTTTTACTTATTTCAGAAAAATGGTTTAAAACTATGTTCAGCAAGGGCTCTTAAACTTTGTATCATTTCCTCTTTTAAAAAAACTGGACATACTTCTAACTGATCTTATTGTATCAATTGTAAGTTTAATGTTCGTTTTCATTAGAAATATCTGTATATATACACACATAAACATATTTAAAAATGTTTATTTAACAAAAATAATAATATATATATAAGGTACAGGTTTTTCTTAAGAAAATAATTAATAGAACATACATATGGAAGTAAAGCAACATCCCGTCACCAAGACTGGGGCTCCTCCAAAAGTCTTCGCTAGTTTGTTCGGTTATTAGCTGCAGCTTTCCAGTTTCAGGCACAAGAAGGGTCCGCGCGTCCAACTCGCCATTTGCCTTAGAGCTCTTCGGTAAGGATCATTTTCAGAATCTCATTGGAAGCCATCCTTTGGACATGGCCAAGTTGTCCAATAATTTCCTGCCTTCGATTTTGTTATTCTAGTTATAATCCACCCTAAACATCTAAATTTCTGTACATATTCAAATGTATTTCCATCTATATTTGTATCACAGAAATAATCAAAATATCTGTAGCTAATCTCATATTTCATCTTATTATCATTATTTCAAACTCCAGTTCTTCACTGGCTTCTATTAACGTTCTAACTGACTCTCCAGCGCTACCAGCCAGCATGACCCTTGGGCTCCTGAGTTATTCTTCTCCACTTCTCTGTCCTGTACTTCTCTCTATTCTGATTGCGAACTCCTAATTTCCTCGTGTCTTTCTCCACTTCATCCTGCCTTCTGCTTCTCAGCCTTCATACTTTCCCTTTCCCACCATTGAAGTGCGCTTCCAATATTTTGTTGTTCTGTAACCATTCATTCAACATTCTGACCACATGTCCTGCCCATCTCAATCTATTCGTCTTGGTATAGTTGGTAATATTTTGATTCTCTAATATAGTCCTGATTTCATTGTTACTTTTGATTTTTCACTCATGATTAACTCTTGTTTATTATACACTGTTAATCTTACTTATTATTTTCTTTTCAAATACTTTTAGTTTAATGCAAGCACAAAGTGACAAGCACCATGTTTCCGCTACATATGTGACTACATGTCTAATAAGCATTTTATACAGCTTTAATTTTGTTGCTTTTGACAACAATGGAGACTTGAGAAGTTTTAGGTTTGCATAGTTGGCTCTATTACCAGCCATTATTCTGTTGTTGCTTTCTCTGGTGTTTAAATTTGTTGTTCTTATTTAGGGTAGAACTGAGATACACCAATGTGGGTACATTTTCAAACTTAAAATTCCTTATTTTGATTTCGCTGCAGGATCCTCTACTTACTGCCAAAGACAGTCTTACGTATTTAGTTTTGTTTTCATTGACCACAAGCCCTACTTGGTTGCTATTTTTGCATATTATTTCAAATGCCTCTTTAAATGCCTTTTCAGTTCGGGCAACAATCACCAGGTATTCAACGTAGGCACAAATTTTCCAGGTCTTATCAAGGATAGTATCTTTTTTAGCTGTATTTTTCATAACAGCATGCAGAGCTATGTTGAATAGTGTTTCCAATAAGACATCTCCTTGTTGCACACCAGATTGTACTTTGAGCAACCGACGAAGTTTATTTCTAATAACTTTACGTGATGCATTTTCCATGCTCGTGTGTATTAAAATAATTAATTTATGTGGCACTCCATTTTTCATTAGCATTCTGAACAGTGCTGACCTCTTGATGCTATCAAATGCCTGTTTGTAGTCAACGAATAATAAGTGCAGTTCAATATCATTTTCATAGCATTTTTCCATCATTTGTTTTATAACAAAAATTTGATGTGCAGTACCTCGGCCAGCTCTAAAACCACATTGGTAATCATCTAAAATTTCCTCAGCATATTTTCGCTGCCTTTTTTAAGAATATGACATATAAATCCAATCCTTCGATCTGTCATCTTTTCCTCTCTCCATATGTCACAGATCAACTCATATATTAGGGTGTTCATTTTATCACTGCAGCCTTTAATCAATTTCACAACTGTCACCGGGGGGTTTAAAGTTCTATTTATGTGAATTATTGGTATACCCAAGCATCAATTATTTTCACCCATATTCAAATCTTTTTTATTATATATCACCTCTCTACTGGTGTATTCTAGTGCTTTAATAGGAAGATGAAAGGGAATCACTTTGTTTTGAGCCTGAACAAACTTTATACTTCTCAGAAATATAATTATAGATTCTAACTTAGTTGAAAGTTTCTGTCATGCTCATACTTATAACATTAACTGACTTTTTTATTTTATTCCTTATTCAATCAGAATATTACACTGTTTCTGATAGTCAATGGAACCAAAAGCCTTTTTGTAATCTATTTCAAGATGGACATCATCCATTGTACTCTTATATTTGTCTCAAGAAAACATTTGATCAATAGTTGAATGGTTCCATCTAAAATCATATTGGGATAATAATAATAACATCCAATAATTTCCACGAATTCTGTGAGTAGGAATTTAGACGGCTTCAGAATGCCTAATAGTGTTAACTGTATCAGGTAAATATAATTGAAATGATAGCTTTGAAGCTAATTAGATGACATGCAAAAAATGGTGGACTTAATAGTGAACAAAATCCAATAGGTTAATAAGTGCTGAGCCAAGTGTTAATCATCCGAATGTTAGACTGAAGAGAAGGTGAGACCATTGTATTGTATTTACCTACAAAGGTTACGGTAGTAAGGAGTCTTATTCAACATTTAGTGTTGATGAGGACTTAAGAATCAAGTTGAGCTCCATTCATTATTGCTTCCCTCTTGTATGTCCGAATTTCTTATTTTTGTTGGACACTTTAATTTGCAGAATGTTTTGTTTTATTTTAAATTTCTTTCTATTGTTATTACGTGTCATTAAAATAACCTTTTGATTTTTAAACTTTTTTTTATATTTATATTTTTTTTATTATTTTCTTAAGCAAAACCTGTATCTTACAGATATTGCGGTTTTTAAAAAATTGTAAGTTCTTCATAGCGAATAACAATTTATTCCTAATTAAAAATGGGGCGCCTAAACAATAATCCACTACCTCCCTATTAAATAGTGTACTTCCTCTCCCTGGTCAGTGATTCTCTTGCAGTGACATATTTTAACACATCTGTTGTATTAAAACTTCTTACATTCCACATCTCTATTCCTAAATTCCTTATTTTTAACTTTCACCATGAATCTTAAGCATTTCCCGCCCTGAGACATAAACTTGGGACTAGTTTACCTCTGGGTAACTAGTGTTTTACCTTGGGGGTATCCACGACTAACTGGTATTGATTATAATTTTGTCATAAAAATCCCTTTCTTACTTGGTATTCTCATGTTTTCCTTGAAGTCCCTTAACAAAAAAAAAAGTAATAGTATTTCACCTTAATTTTACTCCTACAAGTACTTTAGGTTTTTCTTTTATAAATCTTTTCTCAGTGGGTTATTCAGATTGTAGGAACCTTTAAATCAATATTAAAAATTATTCCTATCGTAGTGCTTTTTAATATCTTATTGAAATAAAATAAAATTTCTACTTTTTTCACAATATTAAAAATTATTCCTATGGTAGTGCTTTTTAATATTTTATTAAAATAAAGTAAAATTTCTACTTTTTTCACAATTTTCATGTTTTAAAAAAATAAATAAAGTTACTGAACTCAATAAAATTTGCTCTACTATAAAATTTATTTTACTGGCATTAATCATTACTTGGAACATCAGATTTCTCTCAGCATCAGCAATAGTGTTGCCTAAATGCGATACCGAGACTAGTCTTGCAAACTCAGTCTTGGTCATGGTCTTGGTCTTGCGCAAGAATCTCGCAACAGTCTTGCAGTTACTTATTAGCTTATTACTATAGAGATATTACTGTAATTTTTTAGATAGGAGAAATCGTAACTAAGCCCAAATGAAAAATTAGAGGAGTTAAATGCAAAAGTATATTGGTTAGACCCATTATTAAAATATGGTAACTAAGATTGTCAAGTATGAGTAACTATTTTGCCTTAATTTTTATTTAAAAAGTCGATTTTTTTTTTCTACCAGTGCAAGACCAAGACCGATTTTGGTCAACACTAATCAGGAAACCCAGGAAGTGGCACATCCAGCTTCTATAAACTGTATTGGTCAATCCATCTTCTAGTGATTATCTTTGTCGAGTCACTGAAAAAAACGCCAGTTTAGAGAGATCATTCCTGGTTCACCTCCTTGCTTAACCATTAGCCTAAAAGCAGTAATTTAAGCTCTGTGGTAGCAATCCTTCATGTGTTGTAGTGTTATTTTTCCATGATAAAGTATTTATAAGAACACTGAATCGTATCATATTCTAAATAAACTGGTAATGTCATGCCTTGATAACTAATATGGCAATCATTATTCCCCTAGTGCTAGTTGAAGGTTGTCTTTAATTTATGGAAGCCTTTATAATACAGGGTATAGTATTACCAACCATTAGAAAGGAAATTAACTGCCTTAGTGGAATAGGTGTTCTTGTCTGTATCGAGGAGTGTTCTGTCTCGTTTTTCTTATTTACCATTTCATTTCGATGGTGAAGCAATTCATGTTAACCGACCGAGTAATATGAGCGGAAACGATTGCCCCTCACTTGGTAATAAGGAGGTAGCCATAGGTGTGCCTCGGAGGCCTGTTTTGAAACGCATGTTGCAATGGTTACAGCTCGTTACTCTCACTGGATGCAGGTCGACTCTCTTTATTATAACCGCTAGCGATAGATAAGCTACCAATATAAAGTTGGCATTGCTTCAGATCAACTTTTTCTTTTAACTGTAACAACCTATTTCGATGCCCAATCTCCAGCAGGCGTTAGGACAGCAGGAGATACTGAATGCTATCGCCGATGACCCACTTCTCTGACCACAATTCTAGATTTATCGTTCGACCTTCTGGAGTCTCTCAACCGTATCTCCAGTTCAATGTTGTTATATTTTTTGCTTTTTGGTAACAAAGACAAGTTGTTTTGATCAGATTAATGTAAAGGTTTTGAGTGGTGTTGGGCTGCAAATAGGGTAGTACGTGTCGTAGCGGGTGAACTACATCGGAGAAGTTTTTGTTGTAGCGTCCTCTTTTTTAAATTATCTCGTAATTGGAGCTTCCACACAAAACCCATAGGTGAATAATGCCGAACAATAACTAACATGTTTAGCTCGAAGAAACCTTGAGATAACTGTTCTAATAATTTAAAAAATTAAGATCACTCATATTTTTTCTCCCTTTTACGACGTTACTGTTCACTAATATAAATGGCATATAAAATGAAAAGAAATCGTCTGGCACAATATTACAAAAAAAATCAAGATCTTTATTTTAATCCCCAACCTTCCAAAAAACCGTTGGATCATATGTTCTCCTATTTTTAGACATCTCTCAACAATTCAAGGGAAAGTAAATTATAGGTAGTTCTACTATTTCTTACCTCTGAAATCAGATTACATTTTTATTGTTGCACATCCCTTACAAAGTCCTATTGAAAAAAAAAAAGTCACTAAGTACATTTTGATTCAGGTCAACTTTTAAGAACGTTATTATGAATTTCGACTTTATTTATTGATAATGTACAGTAAGTGCACTAAAATGACAAACTCTTTTACATATCGAGCATAGTTAAAACAAAGCGCGTACACTTATCTAATTTTAAAAATGAATTGTAACTTAATGACTTTTTGGAATAAACCGACGATATTAACCAAGTGATTAACTAAACTTCAGTGGGCGAAAGTACGTTTGGATTTCTCTGTGGATTCGCAATCTGTGCAAAATTGAAAGGGCTTCTTGTAACGCGTCTCCGCGGACCTTTTACTTTCTAATATCGACATTGCGCAACTGATTTACATATGTCGATAAATAATTATTTAAAAGCAATAATTTAAAAATTGCATATTGGCTAATCAACGATTCCTCTTGCTTTTGTAGAATATTGAGGTACTTCTCGAATAACAATTATTTATTTAAATATTTGTATTCGTAGCCATTTGGTCTTTTCAACCACGTAGGTCATTTTAGCCCTCGAAAATATTTGAAATTGCAAAAAAAAAAAATACAAAGAATTTGCTATAAAAATTTTACAACAAATTTAAAGTAATAAATAAACAGTAATAGTTCTTTAAAAAATTATATGTTATTAATTTTTTTGCTTCTGTAATCTGCAGCAAAAAAATGAGTTTTTTCTTTCCTCTTTGCTCAATAGAAATTGTCTTCGTATTTATTTTGTCATTTACATATCTAAATATTATATCTTCACTTTTTTATATTATCACGATCAATGACCGTAAAAATGTTTTTGTTTTCGAAAACAAATGGGTTCGTTTTATCAAAGGAATTTCACGAATAATATACTGCGTTACACTTGTGCTATATCATACATATTTAATAGATATTTTTATTTGTCCTTATTGCTATGTTTTTTGTCCTTAGTGTACGTTATATATTGAATTAAGGTAAACATTAAATTCGATTAGTTGCTATTATATATTTCCATAAATAGATAAATAAATAAAAAAATATTCAATGTGTTGAAATTTATAATACTAATTTCTTTTTCTGGAAAATAAAAATCGTGTGACAGTGTTATTTTTCATTAAATGATTTTTTTGGTAATTTTTCCCTTCCAAATTATCTTATATAAATCCGTAAGGACTCTTAATACAGTCGGGTAAAAAAATCTTTTCTCTGCAAAGCCTCTCGTTCCCTAGATGCGTAAAACCTGCAATAGGAGGGACTATTTGAAACGTTGAGTTAGTCATCTCCTGCAGTACGACCTACATCAAATTTTACGCATCCAATGTTCGAAAGGCCCTAAATGTATCAATTAGAAAAAATATTTATAATTTCCGTAAGTGGCAAAAAAATCAATTTAATCATAATGGTTATTAATTAGTTTCCTAAATGCTGTTGTTAATTTTTCACTTGTCTGTGATGTTTAGTTAATCAAAATTGAACGTATTCGAATTTTTTTGTACTTGAAATTGGTCTTTTAACCTTAATCAATCGTAGAAATGACTTCTTGTCATGTAGATATTTATTATTAATCAATAATTATTTTGTGAACAATTGGGTACCGTTAATCACCGTTCTTAAATACTGACATTTATGCGTAATTTAACTTAACAGATCCAATCAACATCGCACTTGTTTTGAGTAAACCAAAGTCTTAAGTTGAATGGCCTTTGGAAATATGAAAACTAACAAGTATGAATTTTTTTTTTTTTTGTTGTAAAAATAATTTATTGAACATCTTATCCAACCCAAATTGTTGCTATTATATCGCTAGATTGATTAAAAATTAAGATTATTGTGATTTACTTCTTTTCTTTCTAGATTGAAACATCGCATTATATTTCTTATATTTATTTTTCAACTTGTATTTTCCATTAAAAATACCTGAACCAAGAGATGTTTCTTTTATATTAAAAGTATTCATCACTCTTAACTCATTTTTGTAGGCAGTTCTCGTTTAATGACTTCTTGTACAGTAAATTATTAAATTATTGCTGTTATTCATTAATTTCATTCAGTGTGGTATTTAAATGAAGTCATTCAAGTTTAGAACTTCAGTTTTTTTTTTTTTTTTTTAAGTTCATGTAGACCTTTTTACGATACAAGTTTTTCACGTAAATGATGGCCTTCCCAAAAAGAACATCTTGCAATTTGATAATTTCTTCTCAGTCTCTTTCCTCTGTTCGTTTATCAACCATCCTTTCCTTTCTTTGTTTTTAAGTTCTCCGCAACAAAACTCTTTTGGGGGCAATATTCCTCTGCCAACCTCACTTGAAAGTCGAAACCATTTTAAATGGCGTGGAGGAAATAACCAATTTTATATTAATTTTCTATTCGAATATAAATGTAACAAAAGTGTAAAATCTTATTTCGCCTAGGCCTCCAAATATATGTCTTAGCTGCTACTCATGAAGCTCCAACTCAGGCTAGTGCACCCGACACATCAGTATGCAGAGGACGCGGCGACTGTCTGCTCTCTGACGTCCGTGGTGGGATTATAAGCACTTATTTAACGTCAGTCCAAAGCCAGATCGTCCTTTTTGGTTTTCTTAATCACCTGCAAAAAGCGCAAATGCCCTCGTACGTCCATCTCTAGCCTAGGAACAGTGCTGAAGAAACCATGACCCTGCGAAGAGCACTGCGAGGCCTTGAGGTTTCTTCAAACTATGGAGGTATTACGCCGTTGTTTCCGGTCATGAGTCTATATATAAACTGTTTTTATTGTAGCAAGTCTTGACCTCGGCCGTGTGATGTGGGTGAGCATCTGGTTCTAGGGTGGCAGTTATGCATATCCTTCTCTTTTTGAGGATTGTTTGCTTTGTAAATTATTCTAGTATATATTCTACTTACCAATCACACACTTGACTGAGTTTTTAAAGCATGCTGGTTCACTGCTTCATTTAATTTTTGTTTATTATTTTCAATAATGAACCATTGTGATCGACCAAAAAATTCAAAAACTTAACCCCTCTCAAAATTTGAGGTTTCACTTTTCAGGATGCGTAGAATTCGAAAAACGAATAAAAATGTTTTTGTTCATCCGCTCATTTTCTCCGAAACTACTGGACCATTTTTTTTTTCAAATTTGGATATAAAATCAGAGATCCTCCTTCATCGACATTACTATCCGCCTTTACTTTAAAAATGGCTGCCGAAAAACCTGTGTTGATAGACTGTAGCTTCTAAACGAATGTACCAATTTCAATGAAACTTCGCTAAAGTCATTTTCTTGACGCCCTTTAAATTTATCTATATAATATACTTCAACGAAAAGAAGATGGAAAAAATGTTACGAGAGATGGTAAACTCAAAACGTTTACACTTTTTTGTCGATGTTGTGATAAGATGTTTCAAAGGTATTTAAATTTTCTAAAAAAAGTTACATCAAAATCAAAGCACTATTAGTAGAGATATCGCGATTTTAAATATTTTTGTATTATTTTCAATAATCAACCATTGTGATCGACCAGAAAATTCAAAAACCTAATCCCCTCTCAAAATTTGAAGTTTCACGTTTCAGGATGCGTAGAATTCGAAAAACGATTATTTTTTTTATTTTATTCCCTTTAGCCATAAATTAGATAAAGGTATGATAGTAACTAGTATAAAACAAAAATTATATATTACTCAAATTAAACGTTTTAGCATGGTTCTTGGAGCTTAAAATATTTTTGATGAAACAAAATTTAGGAACTGTATTTTTTCTAAAATAATCATTAGTTTTTGATAACTACCTGGATGGCCTTCTGCATAGAGTTGTATTTTCAAATTACTTAAGTGTCCCCTTTGTCGGCTGGAGGCATGAGACTAAACAAACCTCCGGTTGGCAAGTGGTATATACTTATGAAAACAAACTATTCAGAACATCTAATGTTTGAATATTAATTATATTGATCCACCATAAAATTGGTGGACGTTGGATTTGAAAAAAACAACTATAAAATATTTATGTCTTTATTTTGGACGTTTAAGAAAACATTTATTTCAAATTTTGTACCAAAAATCATCTCAAAATATCAGATTTATTTTTAAACAAGATCTTATTAGTATTGTAGCAGAAGTAGAAAAATACAACATGCTTCGCGCCTAGAGGAGAAAGTTTTTCATTTGTAAAATTATTTAGTAGAATTTTAGTAATCACTAGTTTGTCTAAAAGATGAAGAACAATGCGATGTTGTATAAGAAATGCAAATATTATTCATTATCACGCGCTGTCTCAACAT